ATTCAATCCCATCTTCCATAATTCAAGTTTCGGTAATGATGATTCAGTAGACCCTGATACAAGCCAGTTGTAAAAAACTGATATTAATCCTTTATTATTGTATTTCTTAGTAATTAATTCCTCTAAAGGAGAAAGTACTGGCAAGATTAGTGATTGGTTCTGCCTAGAATGAACAAAACTCCTTATCTGTAAGTATTTAAAGAAGTGTTTTCTTGGAATATTATACTTAGTAGACATCTGCTCAAACGACATCAACGTTCCCTCCTCAAAAAGATCACTAATTTTGCTTAATCCCTTTTCAACCCACAACCGGAATCCTGAGTCCTTCGTACCTGGTTTGAATAATGTGTTGCCCCAAATGGGACTATACTGGGATATAGAGCCAGCTATTTTCATGTACTCTCTAACTTCATACCATACTCCAATCATATTACAAACTATGGGATGCTTAGTGACTGTTTTCAGTTGTTCAAACTTATCTGAATATATATACAAGTTTAAAGGTAACGCAAAACCACATGACTCCATATCCACCCAGGATGGTTTATTTCCTGATGAAAAGTAAAATATTATTGTTCTTAATTGTGCAGCCAAATAGTACCAGTACAGATTGGGACATTTCAGCCCTCCAGTGTCAAATGGAAGGTAGAGAAGAGAAAGACGAACTCGAGGGCATTTCTTGTTCCAAATAAATTTCCTGAGTAATGAATTAATCCTTGAGAACATTCCCGCTGGTGGCGCCAAGGGGATATTTTGGAATAAATACATAAATTTAGGCAAAATATTCATCTTCAAAATATTTATCCTTCCTATCAATGAAATTGGTAAAGATAACCATCTCTCCAGATCTTTAGATGTTAATTCCATTATAATATTATAATTTGTAGAAACTATATCTTCTAATTGGGGAGCAATTTTGATACCCAAATATGTAAAGCTGGGTGATAGTTTCAAGGTAAATAAATGTGATGTATTTGGACAGCTATCTTTATTAAGCAGCATCAACGATGACTTTGATGTGTTCACTTTATAACCCGATATATTTCCAAATTGATCGATCAGGTCTAAAAGTGCTGGAAGAGAGGCGTTTAATTGTTTTAGGAATAACACTACATCATCAGCGAATAAAGCTATTTTTTATTCCTTGCCACCCATTTTAATCCCATGTATGTGGTTGTTCGCTCTCACGGCTATTGCTAACGGTTCCGCTCTTCGACTTTTGATGTTCCTTCACACTGAACAGAATCTAACATTTAAAGAAGCAGCATCAAGGTCTGTGTCACGTGTTATCCAGTTGTGGCAGAGAGCAAGCATTCCATACCAGAGGATTGATTCCGGAGTTCGTATCCTCACGAAGCTCCATGATGACTATGTGAAGCTTAAAAAGAACCGGAAGAGAAGCAATGAACAGGACAAAAAGAACCAGGAGGAATTCCTTAGTCGTCTACAGCGTCTTTTTGATATTGCCACAAGTGATGCACTGATTACAATGAAAAATGAAGAAGACAGGCAGTTTCTCATCAAGCAGCGCAATGATGTTTTGTCGTGCAGTATGTCAGGGGTTGATGTCACGCTGTTTAGAAAAGAAAAAAGAAAATTAGCCAGACAACAGCGTCAGCAGGATTATGCAGAGAAAGTAGCATTATCAAGCAAAGTAGAAGAGAAAAGTGACATCCACAGCAACAGTTCATTATCATCATCCACTTCTTCAGATGAAGAATTTGAGATGTCCACGCCACATCGCAAAACTGGGCCAAAGCGTCGTAAGGTCAACATTCTGGATGACCCTGACGTGGCTGGAGCACTGGATCGGGTAAACATACCAGATAGAGGAGCCACATATGTCGTTGGAGCTGTTGCAAAGGCACTTAGCCATGACATTAGCAGCGTGACGCTATCCAGAAGTTCTATCAGACGTTCCCGATGTAGAAACCGTGAAAAGCAGGCAACAGTGGAGCAGGTATTCATTCGCAGTACTCCTCTTCTCCTTCACTGGGATGGAAAGATTGTTCCTGACATTAGTGGGAGCAAACACAAAGTGGATAGAATTGCAGTGCTGGTTACAGGTGGTGGGGAAGAGATGCTATTGGGAGTGCCAAAAATAGGCCGTGGCACTGGTAAGGAACAGGCTGAAGCGTGTTTAACCACCCTCGATGAATGGGGCATTCGTCAGCAGATACATGGGCTGGTATTCGATACCACTGCCAGTAATACTGGCTTGAAGAACGGTGCCTGTACTTTCATCGAGCATTCGCTTGACCGTGAGATGGCTTGGGTGGCATGCAGGCATCATGTCATGGAGCTGGTGCTTGCCAGTATCTTTCGGGCACTGTTTGGGCCAACAGGAGGGCCAGATGTTGCCCTATTTAAAAGGTTTCAGACTAACTGGCCACACATTGACCAGTATGAATATGAGACTGCTTCTGATGACATGTTTGATTCAGGTACTGCTGTCCTTCGAGCTGAGATGGTGCATTTTTGTAAGGTTGCCCTGGAAGAGTCACAACCAAGAGAAGATTACGAGGAACTCATCAATCTTTGCGTGATTTTCCTGGGTGGTGCCTATCCTGTGGAAGTTTCCTTCAGAGCACCCGGAGCATTACATCAAGCACGATGGATGGCAAAAGCAATCTACAGTCTCAAGTTGTTCTTGTTCCAGCATCAGTTCACTTTGACTAGCAAAGAGAAAAACAGTGTGAAGGAGCTAGCCCTTTTCGTGAGCCTTGTCTATGTCCGGTTTTGGCATGAAGCTCCCCTTGCTAGACAGGCACCACTGAATGACATGCAGCTTCTGGAGTCGCTTATGACTTATCCAAACAAAACAATTGCGAATTCTGCCAGAGATACATTTAGTCGACACCTTTG